TTTTAGAGTGCCTAACAACTTGTTAAAACAATTTCCTGTTTTGTGAACATTACAAGATGTAGGGCACCTAGAAACCATCTCTGAATACAGATTTTCCTCAGCAATACTCCTATTCAGAATAATTACCTCATAAATGTCTTGCTGTCCAAGAAATTTACACTTTCATTTCTTCATGCAACTGAATTTGTTAAAATTAGACTGATGTGATTAACATATTTCCAAGCCAACATTGCTAGAACAAACACATATGTGCTTCTCATTGAGAAGGCTCTAAATTGATTTTGCTTTGATTATGGTAAACATACAATGTGGGAATGAACTGTTTGGAAAGTATTCAAAAAAATCCAGGGGCTAGGGAAGCTAATCTCTATAGATTACCTATAGAGTTGAAGGAGGAAAAGAGAGCCCTGTAAGAAATGATTCATAGCAAATAAAAGTAGATTCCTTCTCCAAACTGCTTCCTGGATTCCTCTCTCCCCCTTGGCTCTCCAGGGCGAAGTTGACTCTGTGAAGCTCATTTGTAAATAAATAGACATAATCTTGAGAATGCTTGCTTCTTCAGTGAAGTTTAAGACAAATGATTCCCATCTCCACAGCAGCACTATATTCTACAAAAAATACTGCTCTTTCTCCTGAAAAGTACTTTCATAGAGGATAAATACAAGCCTACTGCAAATAAGGCCAATCATGAACATTATTAAAAGAACAGTTAAATCTAAAACTGGAATAATAATACTAGCCAGATTTGTTTTTTCTTTGCACCCAAGCTACATTTCAGGTGGTGCTGCTATGGTATGAATGTGTTTTAATTCTTTTGCATTCTGCAGAATGAAGTTGTATCCAAAAGTGAAGATGATGTACAAGAAGCAGATATAGATTTAGATTAGATTTAAGGAAGAAGTTTTTTACTGTGAGAGTGGCGAGACACTGGCACAGGTTGCCCAGAGAGATTGCAGGTGCCCCCTCCCTGGGAGTGTTCAAGGCCTGGCTGGATGGGGCTTTGAGCAACCTGGGCTGGTGGAAGGTGTCCCTGCCCATGGCAGGGGGTTGGAACTAGGTGATCTTTAAGGTCCCTTCCAACTCAAACCATTCTGTGACTGTATGAACACACCCATGCTGTATGCAGTTGTTCCTTTACTGGGTATATTTTTTTTTTTTTTTGCAAATACTTTATTAATGGTAATAAAGCTTTTCACATAGAAAATAAATTATATTTTCAGTATTTTTCAGTCCTCTCAGAATTAGTTCAATGAGGAATGAATAACCTCCAGTACTACAAAAATAAAATATTTCTATGTTTGCTTTCTTAGAAACAATGGCTTGTGTATTTCAGAGAAGTTGTATTTCTCCTGTAAATGAATACTGGTTTTCTGGAGACGTTTTTAGCTTCCTTAGTCACAACTTTTATAAAAATGTATTAGTTGAATGAGAAAGTGACTCAGAATACAGGCATGTTGGGTGCTCACTGTTGCACTTCAGTCTTGAGACACTGAAATAGAAGGAGGCTTGCTTAGGAGACAAGAGCAAGAGTGGAGTTTGCTGTCTGGAAAAAACACTGAAATAGCCAACTAAGTAACTCTGAAAGTCATAACTCAGATGGCCATTTAAATTGGACTTGGGTGTAGAAAAGCTTAGCAGAGCAGCTTCTGGATCCAAAGAGCTTATAGATTGAGGAGCAGGTGAGGAAGTATTGTGTATGAAGTATTGCTTCATTCCAAAAGCAAAATGAACATTTGGAAAAACAAAGAAAGTGATATCACAGGAAAATGAAGAGAGAATGCTCAGAACAAAATTGTGTCACGAAGGCTCAATAAGAATCCGAATTCACTAACAATCAGTAAAAGATTGAGTCTGTAATATTATTAACATCTTTTATTGCTGCTAAGGATGGTATTTGATAGTAGTGATAGTAGAGATACTACACAATATGTAACATTTGTAAAGAAATGGATGCAAGAGAGTAGAAATCTGAGTTTTGTTTCAGGCTGCACTAACTGAAAATCTCATAGGAGCTAGGCATGGATCTAATTCTAAAGAATAACTGATAATTTAGGTGTCTTGGTACAGTGAATAAGAAAGGAGTTCGTAACAGAGAAATTATTCTTCAACTTGGGATCTGGAGGAGTGACTGGGAAACCACAAGAAAAAAAAATGCTGAAAAAAAGCAGAGAAAGCCATTTTATGTGGGATCCTGATCCAAAATTCACTACGTCAACAGGTACAGTCTCAAGCACCAGAAAGATGAAGGTTCTTGTTAAACAGATGCTTTTAGCACTTAATTGTTCTAGGAACAAGGCTGATCCACTGCACAGAATGAGATTTCAGTGCTGCCACAGTATTCTCACTGAGAGGGACTTTAGTACCAGACCTTTTGGCAACTGACATCAAACAGGTGCACACTAATATACATATAGATACGTGCTATATATATGGAAGTGTGTATATGCATGCATCTGTACATTACATCACATTCATACTTCTAATATTTTGATTTATCTACTACAAAATGTTTCCAGACCATTAGTGATGCATAACAAAAAGAAAAAAAAAATCCTTCAGTACTATATTTTCCTTAATGATATTTCTTTATCATCTTGACTCAGATAATTTTGCAGATTTTTCAGATTCATACAGCAGTGAAATGATACACAGGTCATATCCAAAATAACAAATTAAACTGTGGACAAGGAACATTCCAGGCCACTAGAAATCCACTGTCTACATTTTCAAGCTGTGAGGATGGTTCCTACACAGCTCTGGACTGGGCCACTGCAGTGTCTCACAGAGTACCTGGGCACACTCTGAGAAGCCAGTTGGATCAACACTAGAGAATAGTCCTGGACAAATTTAATTTACCAGTACAGATGTAGCTGTTAAGTACACAGAATTTCACTATATTGCATTCCATACTGATTGAAAGATTGGGAGCTTCTGTGTTACCATGTCTGCATTACATTGCTTACTGCCTAGAAAATCTCCTTGAGTGGCTTCTTTTCCTCACATTCTGAAACTATTACAGTAAATCTGAGAGTTAATAATAAGAAAAAAGATATATATGAGAAAGCTGACAAGTTTTCCTTTGATTTGCATTCTTAAGAGATTGCTCTTGTTTAGTCATCTTCTAACAGTTGATGCTGGCAGTGAAAACAGATATATCTTTCCCACTCTGCATATTAAAATATGTATAAAAACTAATGAAACATATGCATACTATGCTTAGCCAGAAAGTTGAACTTTATCCTCTTGAAGATAAAAGTGAAACTATCTCTTAAAGAAAGCTGAACATCAGTACCTACTAGATACTGACTTAAAAAGCATGATTAATTTTTGTTCTGATTATGTGCACAGTAATTCTACACCAAGATACAACTATTTCTAAACAGAGGACAATGATTTTAATGTGGAATAAGAAGATAAGAATTCTGAACAAGTTTGACTGATGATCTGAAAAACTGTGTTACACATTTTCTATTAAAAAAAAAAAAATACTGAAGAACGCTCAGAGTTGACAGAAGGAAAATAAATCCTTATCAGAAAAGCGGGAATGGCAGGGAGGGTGAAAGGGGGCAGCTGTGTTCCTACCTCCAAAACACATATCTTACACTATCAGTAAAATATTACACTTCTATGAGAGAAGATGATCATCTTACCACTCTAATTTAATGTTAAAATCATGTTTTGCTCTCTGTATGAGGAATTCCCATGGCCTACAAAGCTCCAGAAATAGCTGCATGATCTTCTATGAATTTTTCTTAGACAGAAAGATAAGTCTGGACTAAAAAGTGGCACAGTGCAATAGAAATCAAACCTTTTTGGTGCTAAGGTAACCATGGCCATGCAATACATGTTTCATAGGTTTTAATTTGGGCTATCCCCAGCAACTGCTGGAGTATACTGGATGCATCTTTGATTTAGTTTCCTACCAAAGGAATCCCATTTGTACAAATCATATTCATATATGGTTATATAAGAATAAATAGATTTCTGAGTTTCTGAGAAATGTTTTGAGAGTACAATAAACCACACAAAAGAGAAAAGGAACTGTACCAATTTTGAGGGAACTGAGGAAATTCTTTCAACAATAAGATATCCACTTGGAAAAAAACAAAAAGTCTTGCATCTGGAAGCATAAGGAATCACAAAGTCTAAAATGTTATCTCAGAAAGTATAAATCAAAGAAATATATTTTGGTGGTTTTTTTTTTTAAGAGATGGTGTGAAAGTGTGTGATTTCATATGAATAAGTTATTTTGTTTTTTTTCGGATAATATTTTGTTAGCTTGTTTTGTGTTTTACCTTGTGTTCTTTTGATTCTTAGACCTGAAAACTTTAATTTTAAGCTGGTCTTTTTGGTTGTTTTTTTTCACTTGGGTTTTTCTTTTTTTTTTCTTGTCTGAAATTGCTAATGCACATCCTCAAATTTAGCACTATAGAATTCTGTGACAGGATGCGTTTTAGATAGACAAAGTATTATGTATTTAAAATAAATTCTGTCCCATTTATATTCATGATTTTTTTTCCAAAATGTGAAGGTAATTGAAGAGAAATATAAAATAAGGTAAAAAATGGTAAAAAGAAAATACTTTATCCCTCTAGTTCCTCATGAAATAAAATTGGAAATTAGTTTCTTTTTAAAACGAGTCTGTCACATACTCCTACATATTTCTGCTTCAGGGAATAAGCATTTCTTTGCTGATGTACAACAACCTCAGAGGTAAATAACTCTGAGGTAAAATCATCTTTAAGTTTGTTGAACAACAGTATTTGCCAGACATTCATAACAGAGAAAAAAGCATAAGTGTTATTTAAAATGCCTTAAACAGTAGATCACAGAATAGATTGTCTATAACTGGAATTAACTTTCCAAAACTCGAGGTTCCAAATATAATATGCGCCAAGAGAACAAATGATCCATCAAGAAGTTTCTCCTTGACACAAAGGGTTCAGCACTGCAGCACATTCATCAACTTAAGTAATGGATATCATTAAGAAGGTACTTACATTAGGTCTTAATCCTGCTGCCATTTCATAATACTTCTCAGCCTCTTCATTGAGACTAGCTTGCCTATCAGGACAGAAAAAACAATATAGTTATACCTTATTTTCCCTGGGTTAAAAAAGAAACCATACCTAAAAAAGTATAGCTAAAACCAAAATAATGCAACTACTTCACACTGTTAAAGGATATTACCCTAAACCATGCAAAAAATATGTAAATCTAAAAGATTTTTTAAGAGTTCAGAATATCCATTATTACAAATCCTCTTTGTGTAGCTTATTTTCTTTTTAGTTATGAAATATGAGTACACACTGGAGAGAAATGCAGAAGGCCAAACACTCATCTGAGGCAAAAACAGAGACATACCAGTCTTCACCAGAGGAAAAATCTGGCTCATTTTTTGTAATTAGCCATAATTTTCATTGTAAATTATGAAGCTATAGATTATACAATAATTCTGTTTCTTTCATTGTGCTGCCCCAAGAATAACATCTTTCCAGAAAAAAAAAAAAAAAAAAAATCAGAGAATACAATGATTTCTCAAAGATGAGTTTCAGTGATTCAGGGAATTTGGAAAAGAGAGTTCTATTTCAACAGTTATATCGGTATGAGAGGGTGTTTAAACTTAAATCTCGTATCTCAGAGGAACAAGATGAGTTTCTGGGTACCTGAAGCACTATCATCTTACCTCTTTTTCTTTTCCTTACTAATATAGATGGCTTCTACATTCTCCTATGAGTTTATTTTTTATTTCTTCTCCTGACTTTTCAGTTTAATGCCTTCAAATGAAAATGAAATATGTTGCCACAGAAATCCAAACACATTTTGTCTCAACAGGCCCTTTTTATCTCTTCTCTCAAACTCCTCTTTTCTCCTTTTGTCTCCACCTTCTTAATTTCCATCCAATTATTCATTTTGGCTACTGGCCCGATGAGTATCAGTTGATCACATACATATCATGAGAAAGATGGTAGATATGTAAGAACAACCAAGTAGGACTCTCAGGCAGGCTACATATCTTCTTCTAATTTTATCTGCTTTTTTTTCTATGAGGAATTAGGTCCCTTCATAGAAGAGTTAGGACACGAAATCTTCAGCATATCTGTATTTGTTATGTGATGCGTTTCTGTGATACAAAATGGAAAATTTAGAAAACAAGGAAAACACTGAGTAGGGTTGGTAATTTTTTCTTCATTTTACTTCTCCTTCCAAAAACAGTTCAAAGAGTATCAATCAACTGAGCATTTGTATCTGGAGATTTTATCTCGTTCATTACATGAGCTTTTACATGCTTTGTTATTCAATGATCAAATTGCAATCAAATTTTCTACCTAAATTTTAAACATCACTTCCATAATACATGATAGGCAATTAATCCCAATCAACACATTTTGACAGTTATTGGTTTTGAGAGATGAAAGGGAGGAAGGATAATCCTTTTGAAGTTTCTCACATAATTCACACGCAAGCTGAAACCACTTCCTGACTAACAATTTGCCAAGTAGAACCTGGTTTATACCTGTTAACTGTTTTAAATTACTTTGCACATGTATCATTGGCTCAGTGGTTAAAAACAACTGAATGTCTAAAAACGTTAATTTAGCATGCTTCTGAATCATTCCTGCTGGGCATTAGTAGCACTTGCAATGACTGGAAAAAAAATAATCTCATACTTCCGAATTTCAGGATTTATTACAAGGCACATAAAATGAAACATGTAACAAAGTTGTTTTTTTTTTTCCTGTTTGCACAGAACTGATGGGAAACAAATTATTTTTGAACATGGTGAAATTCTGTATCATAAACAAGGTGCCTGACTCAGGAAGCAGATACAGACGGTACACTTTACCTCCAAAAAGTGTTGTTGGCATGTGAACATGGAACAAATTAAAATCCTGTCCCCTTTTAGCCCAGTGGAAATACATGGCTTTCTTGCCTCCCACATGTACATCTTGAAACATGGATCATTAATTCCTAAGTTGAAATCAGTTTGAATTTATAGTTCTCCATTAAAAACTGTTTATAGAAATTAATGCACACCACACTATTCTGGTCAGGAAAATGCCAGTTCTATTTTTAGGGCACTCAGCAACAGTTCCTTTAGTTAAGATACAGCAGAATTCTGGTTCCCATTTTCATTGGAAATCTAAACTAGAAATTCATTATGTTAAGCCTTGGAATGCCTTTCCCTTGAGAAAAATTAAAGGCACAGAGGTAGGAAATTGCAGTAACCCTATGCCACTGAGCAATGAGGGGCTCTGGATCAATGTCAAACAATGGAAGGACATTACTAAAGGAAACATAATTCACATTAGAGTAAAACATTAGATAAAATGTTGATAATAGAAATGAAGGAAAGGAAGCAAAGAGAAGTTTGAAAGACAGAGCCCTTTTCATAATTATGAGCTATATTTCAACCTGTATCCTAAATCTTTTCATGAGGACTGACCTTGCAAACATATCCGATTTCCCCCATTAACATCTAGCGTTCAATCTTATTTTAAGGGACAAAAATATCTCTTCTTTTTATTCTCTCATATCTGTTAACCTGAGCCTCCAGACGTACATATTGCTCTTAGGCTCTCCTGACACGAGTTCAGCTTGTACTCATTTTGAAACTTTATGTTCATCATTGGAAAAAATATTGCTTTCAGAGACAAACAACACCAATGCTGACTTGTTTAGATACATAAATATGTGAATGGGAAAGGATTATTTTTAATCTGTCTACTGTTTATTATAAGGCTTTAGTCTGTTGATTATTTTTAAGTGAAAAATGGATGTCAATCCAGCTATAAAGAAGTTTTCTTCAGAGATTCCTATTTTAAAATACTGAATGTTGATACTTGTCATTCTTAATGGACATTTTTGTGTCACAAGAAAATCATAATCAGATTCCATACATGTATCCCTTCATCCACATTTTTTGTTTACAAAATTTACATAAACTATATGCTTAGCTATACATGCATACATGTATATACTTAAGCATATAGACATTAATTAAGGAAAGAATAAAATCCATTTAGACAGTAATGTAGGGTGAACTTGTGCCTATGAGACTGTGCCAGCATTTGCATGTTCAGTCAGTGTACTTTGGAGACCAAAATACTCTCACGGAAATTCACTGAAAATAAAGACCATGTCATGTAGTATTGTTCTAATTTAGACTACTTTTTTCAAATAGCCAACAAACATGCTATAACTTCATGCAATATGAGTGTTTCCCAGAACAACCTACTTACAGAAGCGTGGAAAAAAAAAAAAACAATTATTCCTACAAAATGTTCTTTTAAGCAAAGCTCTTCTTCCTATGCTTATTTTCATTTGGAGACAACATGAAGCTTTTTTCCTGTTTCTAATTAGTACGGCGGTGTCACCACACTGCCATTCCTCATTCTAAAAGTAATCATCCCCCTAGATCACAGGAAACCTATCTCATGGCAGCTCACCTCAGTATACAACTTCAAAGTGAAACTTAGCACTGTTAATACATGATTCAGTCACTGAAGCTATAGCTACCATATGGCATTACAAGTACGTGCTTCACTACGTTCCATTAAAATCTATCTAGCTTTGCTGAAAGGCTTCAGACTACTGTAAGCAAGAGCATAGCAAATACTACAAAAGTAAAACACATGACCAGTTACTGTTTTAAGAAGAACCACCCAAACAGCTACATGACCCTTGAATGAAGCTGTCTGGAAAACAAATTTGTTGCGAAAACAAATTTTACAGGCAAGTACTATGCAAGTTCAAAGTTACCAGACTGTTGCAAAGAAATTAATTACATTCATCTGAAATCTTACCCATATTACAGATGACTTGATTCATCTGGCATTGTATTATCAGCATCCCACAGAAGTCATTTAGGCAAAAAATGAATAACTATGTTTGTGAAATTAGGAACAGGGAGGTCTCTCAATAATACAAACAGAACTTTTTTTTTTTTTTTTTTGACTTCAGCTTCAAATATAGTCACAAAGAGAGGAAGTAAATAGCGTTGGAATACCTGACAGAAGGAGCGGAAGTCTTTTTTGTGACTGCTAAACTAAGCATGGGCTATCTATAAAGGCAGCTACTGCATCTGGACACTGTTAACAATTCTGTTGCAAATTTGATGAAAAAAAAATTAACCTGCAGCTTTTTGAACCTTGAGTTCAAAATTTTCAAAACTTGTTATTTTTTATTTACGTTGCATTTTAATTTAAACAATTTTATCAGAGAGTTAAGAGATTTAAAAAAAATAAAAATATTTTAGCACTAGAGTAGAAAAATAAATTGTACTTTGAGGGTATGTTGTGATTGTTTTCCATCCAAAGCAGCTGTAACCCAAATTTGAAAGAATTTGACCACAATTCTGAAGAAATGTCTACATGTTTCTGAATCTTGTAACAATCCTTGGGCTAATGGTAGAAAAAGGAGTAAAACAGAAGGGAAAGCTTATTCTTTTCTAATTCAACAATACATAACCGGATAGAATATTTGGTTTGAAAAAAAAAAATTAGAATTTACACAAAAATCTAAGTTGCTGTTATAACCTCCCAGTCATTTTGGACACCTTGCATCATGAACATTAATATCAATCTCTGTCTCAGTCCACAACACACCTTTAAAATTTATCCCTTCTCTCTCACAACAGTAAATTCACTTCCATGCCCTGTGAAGTTCTATAATGTATTTTCTACCTCACAGCTGTGTAGTCTATTTAAAATTCTTATTCACTTACCAGTTTTTATAGCTTTCTACAGTATATGAAAAGCAGTTGGTCACCTAGATAAAACTATTATGTTTAATAAATTCAGCCTTTAATTTATGACTGTCTTTAGCATCCAGAGTTCCTAGATGTGTCACTCCATGACAGTCAGAGTACTCCCTTCTTTCCTCCTTTGTATCTTGGCATCTGCTTTCCCCTTGGAATCACCTCAGCTCTCTGTCATTGATGTATGAATATACATTCCCCTTGTTCAACAGCTGTTATGTAAGCAATATGCTGAATAAATTGCCACATAAAGCAGCGAACAAAGACATACAACAGAATAATAAACTTTCATCAAAAATTAGTGAGATCAAAACATGTGTGGTTTTAAGCAAATACTTGGCAGCACTGAATTTAACTTTGCCACCCTGACTCTTGCTAAATCCTCCAGACCACTTTAGACTCCCAGAGTATATTAGGAAGACATTACAATCTTCCACAAAGAAAGCTGAGTATTTAAGTGAAAAAATAGATCAACTGGGTATCCCAAAGGAGCACAGTTGGATTCTATATAAACTAAACCACCAGGCTTTTTTTTGTTGTTTTTAAGGGTTTTGGTTTGGTGGTTGTTTTCAGTTGGTTGTTTTGTTTGTTTGTTTTTTTTTTAAAGGTTTCATTTTTTTGCTTACAGCTAAACTAATGAATGACGTTTAGAATCACTGAGCTCAGTGCACCTCCCAAAAAGCATCCACTCCCAACCAGATCAAGTAGGGTAATCACGGATGATGTATAGTACAGCAGCATAGCTCTTACTCTGAGAGTGAAAAAATACTCATATCCCAGTGTAGATATGTGCCTTCAAGACCTGGGATGCTTCACTCTGTCCTCACAGAGAAAGTAAGAGATTTATTAAACCTATTCCTAAAATAGTATTGATCTATGCCATCACATTTTAAAATACCCACAATCACACCATTAAACCGTCTTCCACAACATACTGAAATCAGGAGTCTGACACACTCTGTACCCTTCTGGATTCAACTTTCATGCCTAATTTGCTATGCTTCTGTCTGTGAATTTGTTTCATTAATCTCAGTGTTTCAAATTAATGGATTATATCTTGAGAGATATAATTCAGAAAATAATCAGGGGGAAGGGAAGGATCCTTAAAATAGTTCATACATCTGTGGCAGTTCAAACTATTGTTTACCAGTGAACCATTTGCCTTGGTTTCCTTTCTAATCTACAAGCAGCAAGAGTTATTTCTCAAAGGGTGTTTTGGGGCCTATTTCAAAGTCCTGGTATAGAAACGTTCATTGTGAAACACTGGACACTTGGCTGAAGCCAATTCTACCTTCTGTTTAATACCATTTTCTTTTCCTTTCATTTTGTATCCTAAATGTTAAAAATATAAAGAGCCAAGTGAGATATCTTCATCAGAGAAATGATCACAATAACTGTTTTGTGCTAATGAAGTATATTTTTTACTTCCTTTTTCATGCATTTTCTAAGCATAGATGTAATCCAAATGAAATCAACTATCCTCTTAGCTGTTAAGTGGACAATAGACAGTAATTAGATAGCTATCCTAGAAATAAGCATGGAGGATACCTATTACAGTAATGTGAGTTTAATGATAATGTTCAGGCAGAAGCTTAATGTTACTGAATATCCAGGTCTGACAGCTTTAAAAGGAAAAAAAGAAGTCTAAAATTTTATTCCATTCAGATAGGAAAACAGAATTAAACATAAGGCTACATTTTAAATCACAGATTCTGATAATATCACTAAATGTTCCCATGAGTCTCAAAGTTATCATTAGCCTGAGAATATTTAGATTTCTAATTATTGTAGTGTTCCCTACTGATACTAACATAAAATGTGATATTTTCAATATCCTCTAGTTATATCCAGATCAGAAATACAGTCTATTATTTTCAGTTGCTATGAATCCTAACTTTTTAAAAGGTCAGGTGAAAGGAAATCCTGCAGAAGGTTCTTCACAAAAGAAACACTTGTTCTCGTATGAAAGAATAAAGGATTATGTGCTTGTGAATAAAAGAAGTTTTAAAGTTAAGAAATTATGAGATAACACATAGAGAATTAGAAATAGAAAGTGCTAAATCCTGTAGCTGTTTCACTCCAAATCTTTTTATCTTATTAGCAATACTGAATTATTCAAGAGTTTCTGGGCTTTAAAAAGAACCCTGGGTAAGCAAAGGCTGTAAAGACTTTTTTTCCTCCAAAAGAAGGGAGAAAAGTCAAGTAAGGCAGATGTAAAAGCACTAACCTGAGCATATGGGCTGCATTGAAAACAACATCAAATTCTGTATTATCAAGTTCAGCTGCTTTTTTTGCCATCTCAGCTGCTTCTATCAGGCGGGATTCTTCTAGGAGGAACTGACCTGCAGTGGAGTACATGAACGTGAGCCCAGAGAAAACAACTGATGGATAATGCTTCAGACAATGTAGCTAGGAAAGGCAATTACAAAAAAACCAAAACAAAACAAAAACAAACAAAAAAATCAGATGTCTCAGATTCAGTTTTTAGTTATTTGTTGATCTGCTTTGTATTTCAATATCTTTAAAATGTAGCAAATATAAAAAAAATGCAATAAATATAACTAACAGCAATATTTGCAGAACATATTGATGAATAGTGAGAATGATACAGTAAAACTCAGCTACCAAGAAACGGTATTCCCAATCGCTGAGAAGCCTGCCATTGAAGAACATGCCCTTCTGCCTATATACAGATCTTCACTTCTTCAAAACAAAATGAAATAAAATAAAATAGCATCTACAAATGAATTATATTTTCATTTTTAAATCATATCTCAAAATCACATAAAATTATATATTTTTATATAAATACACATGTAAACATCTTTCTTCGGCTTTTGAATGATAAATGCTACTTTGCTTTAAAATTATTATATATATGTATACCTTGATGAACTGGTATTTTATCATGCATTTCAGTAACACTAAGAGAATCACAAGAAGTAGCTTTTTACAAGTTTCCTACATGATACATACCTTTCACATAAAAAACTAGAAGATGGCTAAAATCAAGTGACTGAATTTTTGCAAATTATATTAACATAATCATTAAAACAAGTTAAAACTGAAAAGAATGAATAATTTATCATTAACCAAACTTTAACTAAAGTACAGTAGTTTCAAAACAAAACACGTAACAACTAGTAGAGTTCTATAAAAATGAGTTTTCCTTTGATAAAGAGGAAAAATCCCCAACATTTTGGAAAGTACTCAAGCCATCTTATTTCTGCTTCTTTTAATGATTTTTTCACACCTAATTTGTAAAATGTGTTATTTTTGGATCCAGGACTTTTCAAAGGGTTTCAGACGTCTAGACTCTGTGTCTACCTAACTTTATATTTGGAAAAGTTATCTTGAAGTATGGTGATTACATGTTCCAGCATCCCATCCTTCCTTTTTAATCTTACTTTGTAAAGTTAGATCACTCAGCCAAAAGTCCATCAAGCCATCACTGGCCACAAGCCTCTTCAGGAACAATATGCCATGAGCAAATTATTTCTTCTCATGGTGACAGATTTTCTTTTTTTTCTTACCTCATTTCATACATTCCCTGTTACTTACATGCCTGCGATAAGTTTATGAAGAAAATCCACTTAACTAGACCTAGCAATGTCTGTAGGGGCATAGTGATTACAGTGATGCTTTGGTACCATGAACATGTTTGCAGAAGGAATTATCTCCATACAAAAAGTGATGAAAGACAGCTTTCATAGCTTTTTGCTTTCTCTGTGGATACATTTCAATTTAGGAAGAGATAGAAGATTATTTACTCTGCCACCTATATCTTAGTTATTCAGATCTGCAAAAATCTTGTAAAAACATTCAGGTGTCTTTCTGCATTCATAGCGTAAAGTTTTCTTGTGTTAGTTACATCCACACTCTAATATGTGCCATCCTTTCACATATTATGATACTTTGTGTTCATGTTGTCCAGAAGCAGATGATTTCCAAAAGAGCTTTCTCACACAAGAAAATAAATAAATAAATACAAAGAAAAATATCAAAAGTAAACACAGTTTGGATCACAAAAAATTGATTTATCTTCAGAACTAGCTCAAATGAAATCATCGCTTGAGTCATTAATAAAAGTTTCTTAAGAAGGGAAAAAAAAACATTGACAAAAGCTACAAGTTTGTTCTTTTTTTTTTCCTTTGAGTACCACATCAGGGTATGCCTTATATATAGCAGTACGAACTCAGATATGAATCTGAAAATTTTCAGGCAAGTAAATCTACCTAGTACAGTAGGCAGTTCATACCTCTTGATTTGGCCTGAATTCCTTTTTTCTTTAAAGAGAAATCTTTGAAACAAGCTTGACCAACTAGTATTTTAATTCTCTTCCAAAAAATGAACTAAAATAGTACCCCAAATCTTTAGGTCCAAACTAAAGCAAACCAGACTTAAGCTGTTAACAATAAGGTTCTTTTGTTAATGAGAGCAATGGATTAGCAGAATGAGACACGAGTAACTGGATGTACTATTGATACATTCAGCCAGAAGAAAGAAAGGGAACGTTTTAGGTTTCAAGACACAGTGAACATTCAGGATCATTCTCAAAAAACTTATATCCTTAATTTAAGCAAAATATTCTGCAGCTTAGAGTTTTAAAATAATTTCGGCTAGTCATTTAACTAATTAGTTACATAAGAAGAAAAAACCTCTCATTATTGCCTTCAATAAAAATTACTCAAGGGATTTTAGAGACAGTTCTTTACAAACATAATTCTAGTTTTCTGTATGAAATAACACTGAAGCTCAACAGAGATGTTATCTTATGTATATTTATAACTACTCCTAATGTAATAAAATGTAACTGATACATCTGACTTCATGTGACATAATCAACAAATTTCTTAGCTTTAGATTCATTTTACTAAATGGTAAAATACTTGCACATCATTAATGTAATTTCTAAAGATATAACACTATTGGAAAACATTTCAAACAAATACTAATGGTTTACTGGTGCTCTTAAGCAATATACTAGGTTAATTCCCAGTTCTTTAAGAGATCAACATCTACTGAAGATGTTATGAAATTCATACATTGCTTTAGATTGTTACAAGTATTCTAATTTAAAACAGGACAACATCATATAAATTTTCTGAAAAGCAAGTGCACTGCTAGATGCTTAGTTAAAAGCTTATTTTAATAATTGTTTTTCTAGGACTTTGGCTGCATACATTCTATTAGTCTACACAGACACATCAAAAATATTAGCAACAATTATAAACTAATGTTTTAAATTGTTCAAACCAGAATTTACTCTCCTCTTACTACTAGGTCTCTAGAAAGTGTCTCTCTAATAGGATTATTATTTTATATAACATATTAAAGCATTATCTTTACTACAGGACTACCAAAGTTAACTAAAACCAATTGCAAGTACTGTGTGACACCAGCCAAGTACGAATAAAACTTCCAGTTCTTTGGAAAAGAAAATTCTAGGGCTGTGCATTACCATAAACAAGTCTCTCCCCTGTACTGGAGGTAGTAATAACAGTGGCAATAACTCATGCTGAGTGGGTAGGTAGCAGATGATACATAGCACCCTCCTGAAACTGACTGTAGCATCCTTTACACCAGAATCCTTACAGAATACTGACTGCAAAAAGGAGAGGGGAACACCCTGTAATGCCTTACTCATTGCCTCAGTAGAGGTGATTTAATCAGAGGTTGTTGATTAAGCATTTCCTTAATTGGACAGGCTATAAATATAATTGACTGCTACCTTCTCAATCTAGTGGAAAAGTCAATACCTGAGTGTACAGGTGTGTGTTGGGTTGTCCCCTGCCAGCATCCAAGCACTCATGTGGCTGCTCACTCCCTCCCCCCTCTTCCATGCCAGCAGGATAAGGGGAAAAAATAGGAAGAACAAAATTAAGAAAACTCATGGGTCAAGATAAAGACAGTTTAATAGATGAAGGAAAAAAGAAAAACAAACAAACAACAAAAAACAAACAAACAAACAAACAAAAACCAAAACACCAAACCACAGCAAAGTGAAGGAAATAGCTCACCTCTTCTCACATCTAGACTGGTGCCCAGCCAGTCTCCAAACACAGGGCATCTCAGAAGCCCCTCTTCTTCCTCTACCCCAGTTTTTATTGCTGAACATGATGTTATACAGTGTGGCACATCACTTTAGCCAGCTCAGGTCAGCTGTCCAAGCTGTGTCCTCTCCCAGTCACCTGCCCATTCCCAGCCTGCTCACTGAGGGGGCAGAGTAGGAAAAAGAAAGCCTTGACACTGTTCAAGCACTGTTCAGCAACAGCCAGAACACTAGTGTGTTATCAATGCTGCTTTAGCCCCAAATCCAAAACACAGCATAATCCAGACTGCCATGAAAAAGTTAACTCTATCCCAGCCAAACCCAAGGTGGAAATTTTCTGTTGAGAATGGATTTGCCAAGTTCTCCTGAAAGGCAGACTAATTTTATTCAGACATCTAAATTTAATTTAAATCACCTAAGTAGAAATATCCCATTTTGAAAACATTAGCAGCTGTTTCTTTTGACTTACTAAATTCATACAAGACTGAACTGGATTGGCAGATTACTGTTGCACTTTCTTCATTAGAAAGTAGACTTCTGAACTTTTCCTGTCAAAGCTATAAAGATGTGTTTTCCCAAGAGAAGAGCACTAGCAGGGCAGAATATTGGCAAGGTGTTGAAGGTGGATCAGAATGTCTGATCCACAAGTCCCGTGATCCAGGAACCACTTGTGTGGGTCTAAATTCACATGCAGGATTTTCTCCTCTGACAGGTATCTGGCAAACTGCATGATTTATAAGACACTGCCCAATATCACATGCAGAACTTCCTTATTGCAGGTGTCATGACTTTGACTCTTGCCAACAACATAAATTATGGTAGCCTGATTTGTTTTTTGGAATCAGAACCAGCTTTTGAGAAAACAGCTTTCTAGAAGCTCCGATTTTCCTTCTTCAAGGAAAGCATATTTCTCATTACTATTCTTCTAAAATGAGAGTGAGAAATCCAGTCCAGGTTCTAGTGTGACCTTCAAGAACAGTGTTTGCCTGAAACAATGTAACTTTTTTAAATAGAATTTTCCTCCTTTTTTGCTAGACAGCATAGACCTATCTGTAAATGTTTAGCCAAGAGTTTTTAAAGACCTTTGACAGCAGAGAACTGATTCAATACTTTACTTAGTCATTTTTCCTTAAACTATCTAAGCATCAGAAATATCATAAAAACTGATGAATTCTGTACCTACAGCCTTGTTCAACCTTAATTTTCTTGCAAATCATCAGCAGTGGTTTTGAGCCTATATTTCACCAAAAAATTTGGAGGCAACATATGTAAACCTCTAAAAAGTAAGGT